ATATAATAAATATATAATATAATATAACACCTTGTTTAATAAAATACATTATCTAAAAACAAAAATAATAATAAATTAGCAACAACAGCCAGATCTTAATAATATACTACTTGCTTTTTACTGGCTACAACAAGAAATCAGATCTTATAACAAAAAATAAATTAGCTTTAAGCACAAATAGAGGTCATTAACCAAAAAGAACCCAAAGTTAGCTTATCAAACAAGTTTGATAGAAACTGAACAAATCTTAGAGGATTTTTGAACCAAGTATGCCTTGTTATTCATAAGCAACCAAATATTACCAAGATGATCAAACAAAGATGGACTTTTGGAAAGCTTATTTTTAGATACAGCCTTTGTCTAGTTTGCTTCATTATTAGAAAATAGACACTTTTGCTTAAAAGTTTTGATCAAGTAATCTAGAAGTTTGAGACCATGTTCAGAAACTCAAATAAGAAAAGAACTGCTACTAACAAAATCAGAAAACTTACTTAAGGCTTCAGGTCTACATCAAGCTATATATCAGAATTCTGGCAAATTTCTAATAATTTGGATTAGTGAGAAGCAGCTTTCATTAACCAATTCAGAAATAGCCTTTACAATGATATAAAAGATCTTTTATTAATAATAGAAGACCCATCTCTTTAAATGATACTATCACTAATGCTGTTTATTGTGACAATCAGTTGTTCGAACAGAAGCAGAAACATTATCAAAGTTCAAATTTTAGTGAGGCTCAATTCCAAACCTTCTATACTGAAGCAATCTTGGCAACTAAACCTATGCAAATTAATATACTAAAATTCAAACATCTACTTTGAGAGAAGAAAATGAGATATTAAACAAACAATCTGTATTTATACTATAGAGATGTGGGTCATATGATCGAAATATACCCAAAAAAACTAATAATAATCAGTATAGAGTCAATTCTTTAGTTACAAACAAAGAAGAAGACTTAGGAAAAGGGTAGCTCTAGTCTCAGTAAAGGGTTGAGACTAGGCTTAGTAAACAAAATATTTCCAAGAACAACGCCTCTTAATATTTTTACAAATGCTTTTTTCTTCATAATACACTTATAGCTTCCTGATGGATGTTCTCTAAATGCAAAGGCATTACTGGTTTTGGGAGCTTCTGCATATTTTTTAGATACTGCTCTAGTACAACAAGCATGGATACATACTATAGAAATAAATTTATCTTTGTTTGTAGAAGTAATAAATAGTTAGAAAATTT